AATTACAAAAAGGGAAAGGAGAAATCTCTGCAATGGAGAAATCTAGTGGGTACTGGTTTAACCAAGGGATCAAACGCAGCACCACCAGCAAGAGGACAAACCTTACGTGGCTCCTGATGTGATGCAACAGGAAGGACAAAACGCTGTCTCCATGGTACTCTCGCAAACTTAGTTCACTTGAATCTAATCATAAGGAAGCAAGCAGACGAGTACAGTTTGTGGGATATTGCACCGAAGTGACGACTTTCCCAACACGGCACTGTGGTGCTAGAGAAGAGCAAAACAAGTGGAGAACTATTCCTGATTAAAAAACACTAAAGCAACAGGACAACTAAAGGCAATGCATGATCCTCGATTAAACCAGTTGTACAGATAACTATGTGAACCGCTTGGGAAATCTAAATGAGGACCACATAGTAAAATGGCATTATTATATTGGTGTCAAATTCCTGGGTACTTGATAGTTTTGTGGTTACATGGGGACAGGTCTTTGTTCTTTGATGACGATGCTGAAGTACTGAGGGATGAAACAGTGTGACGCCTGCAACTTACTTTCAAGTAACTCAGGAAAAGAACACGCGTGAATTTACACACACATATATGAGAAGAGACGCAAAGCAAAATTGGTAAATTTAGGTGACAATTATGTGGATACGCATTATACTATTGTCACAAATCTCCTTAATTTGAAACTTTCCACTAAAAATGTGGGAGGTAAACAAAAAAAGAAACAGCATCTGGCTGAGCTTGGGTTACAGCCATGGGTCGCAGAAATCAGAAACGCTAAGGGGCCACTTGAATGAAGCCTGTGCTCTTGGCCTCACGAGCTCTTGTCTGACAGGGTGGCCTCAACTGAACGATGGGACGTTCCCGGAGGTGCATTCTTAGTTCGAAATACTTCAAGATGCTTCAACTGCCACACCTGACGAGATCCATCTGTTCCACTATATCTAGACTTAAAGTAAGCATGCTTCAGAAAAGGGACAACTCGCTTTCAGTTGTGAAAATGAGCACAAATGAAGTAGTGTGAAATGCTCAATAACCAACTTCGAGGACATTGTGGGGACAGCTTTGGGACAACATGGGTGAGTGTGTCTACATCCTCGAACGTGGTCTCAACCGAACGCTGGCTATGGCGGGAAACTAAACATTAGACTTTAACATTTCCTTTTGAATTATGAATTCTCTGCTGAATAGTCGATAACAAATGCCTTCAAATTCTGGCAGAAGTCTACATATGAATGAATACTTCATGTTTTAAAGGAAAGTCATGATCTCTTTGTAAATAGTCTTTTGGTGTCTAAAGAGAAAAATTAAAAGGTGTGATGTGTACATAAAGGAATGACAACTCAAGGTCCCATCTTCCACCCTCTCCCTGCCCTCTTATAAAGCCCTGTCCACCTGCAGAAGACAGCGAGATATTTCCATCCTAGGGTCTCTAGTTCCTCCACTATCTGCTCCACATCTGGCCCAAACCTCTCTTGCTCAGGTCATCTGGTTTCCTTATTATCATTGTCAATTAGCCTTTCCAGTTAAGTCTATATGAAGCAAAATCAGTTCCATCTTACAAAGTGATTGTTTTTCTTTACAGAGTGTCTAGTACTAACATCATAACAAAATGCCGAGCTAACACCAATCAACACAAAATTTACAGTCAAGTAAAATAAAGTTTCTGTTTATCACACAGCTCAAAAGTCATATTCTGACTAGAAACTGAGCAGGATCAAAATGACTCTTCCCTCATCTTTTATTGTTCAATTATAGAGTAAAGTAAAAAGGCAGTTACTCCTGGGAAAAAATTTGAAATCGGAGACAGTCAGCTCTCTCTCCTCCATGCCTCCACTCCCAACTTCCAGACTGTCTTTGGCATGAAGTATGGCTTTAGCATTATTTAAATTAATAATCTGTGATGTTTTCATATCATAACTTTTACTTAACATTGTGAAACATTTCAGGTATCAAAGTATGTGACATCAGTGTAAAACTCGAACATATCCTTTTAACTGATGTAAGTAAAATATTTTTTGATAGCCCAACAAATGTCCTTATTTTTTAAATATCTGACATTTCAATATACATATATATATAAGTATATAACATTTCAAAACATTCAGATTATATGACTAAATGCTTGTTTTTCCATCAAGAATGGGGCATTATGTGGCACAGCCTTCACATACAAAGCTTAGAACTAGGCACCCCAAGGTTCAATGCACATGTTTTTCCTTTGCTGTCTCCCAGCCGTCAAACATGTGTATTGAACTAATTTTTTCTAAGATCAACTCTTCAAAAGCTAGCATGTGTGAGTAAACACTCTGTACCTGGCTTCCTGGCCCCACCTGCGTCTGGTAAGGAGAATGTCACTGCTAGCCTGCGGTCCCGTCCCCAGGAGGGAGGCTGCCAGGACTCGCGGGGTAATGTAGAGTGTGGACTGCATTTGCGCAGGGGATCTGGAGGAGTCAATCAGTAAAGACTCACATCATAGCTGAGGAAGGTCCCAGGAGGAAGTGGGGCCTGAGTCAGACCTTAAAGGAAGGGAATCCAGAGGGGGATGGAGGTAAGAGGAATTATGTAAAAGGTGGGACAGGAAGAATACTTCATGGGACATCTGCAGGGAAGCGAGGCGGCCCCAGGTGGATGAGCATTAAGGAGCAGTAGAAAAGTACCTGCTTCATAATACGAAAGCCCTACGGGGAAAGCAGAGGAACAGCCATGACAATGGAGCCCAGATGGACGGGGCCATGGCCAAGCTTACGTAAGACAGTGACTCGGGAACAGTGTCAACAAAGATAGACAGTGGTCTTAGATAGCTAACTGCGATCCTGCTTCGGTGGGCCATTACACATTACACAGTACGTAGGATTTGTAAGTTTTCCTTCTTTCTCCTCAACCAGACCACTAAGAATAAGGCCACGCTGATTGTGAGAACAGTTGAAGATCCTTGCCCACTAAAGCAAATATTTCATTTGGAAATTCATCCAGAACTCTTTCAATAGCTCTGCGTGGCAGGTATAAGAGTGTGGAGCAGAAAGCAACATGAACGTAAGGAGACGGGTTAGAGACACAGCTGTGCCCCTCGGGGAGTGCTAAATGACTTGTTATCAGACTTAAAACAGAAAAAATAAGCCAATGAAATTTTTAAAAATCTCTTCTTTTCAGTGATCAATGGTGAGACTGTTAGATGTTTGGACTCAATTTGAACCAAAAAAAAAAATCTTATTTTTGGATGCCAAGTGTCTCACTCAAGTGGATTTTCATGAAACAGTGAAATGACAGGGCCTAAATGTAAATACCACGAAAGCCCAGGAAGCTGGAAAGAAAAACAACCAGTAGGGAAAATTTGCTCTCGGTGGTCAGACCCAGCAGCAGTGATTCCCAGCAATTCCATGCTCAGCTTTTCTTGAAATAACAAACTCTTTAAAGAGAGAAGGCAGGCGTGCTCTGCTGTCGTGGTGATTGGGAGAGCTCGCAGCAGCAACGGGAACTGAACTGACTGAGCAGATTTGGCAGACATCGGCCCTGGGGACAAAGTCAACAGTGCACTACGTGTTTTATTTGCGGAGGGTCATCTGTGCATCTTCAGAAGGAAGACTGACAACGGGATTCATGGCCACCGTCAGAGGTCAACTAGAAAGAGGGCAGCTAGTGTCAAAAACATCCACCCTAACACCAAACCTTCCTTTATATAAGCCTCCAAACCCCCTGTTTTCTATTTCATTCCTTTGGCCTTTAAACTATTCAGACACAGACGTTTATGCTGGTGCCTGGGTGAGGGGGTAGCCTATAGCAGCTGCTATTCTGGGCTATCTCTCTGGGGAGAACTCGGAAAGCTGGAAGTGCTGGGCAGGCCAAGGTCATCAAATCCAGACCCCGCCTCCAGGCTCATCCATGTAAACCAGGACTTCAAGGGAAGGGCACTTCTTAAACACCCCCACGTCTGGAGACCACAC